GAGAGAGAGAGAGAGAGAGAGAGAGAGAGAGATGGAATTGGAGAATTCCTCCGTCATGACTGTCTCCAACTCTGGCTCCGGCGAGGCTAGTGTGTCCTCCTCCAGTCAGCAACAGCCCCCTGCGCCGCCGCCTCCACTTCCTCCGCCTTCGATTCCGGGGGTAAAAAAGAAGAGGAACCTCCCCGGAAATCCAGGTGAGTGAAACTGGAGCTTCTTGAAAGTTAAAAGGTGAGATCTTTTTCCACCATGTACTAATTCGAGTTGAATGTGGTGGTCGGTAGATCCGGAGGCGGAGGTGATCGCGCTGTCGCCGAAGACGCTGTTGGCCACCAACCGGTTCGTGTGCGAGATCTGCAACAAGGGGTTCCAGCGGGACCAGAACCTGCAGCTGCACCGGAGGGGGCACAATTTGCCGTGGAAGCTGCGGCAGCGGACGGGGAAGGAGGCGCGGAAGCGGGTGTACGTATGCCCAGAGTCGAGCTGCGTGCACCACGACCCGTCGCGAGCACTTGGCGACCTCACTGGCATTAAGAAGCACTTCTGCCGCAAGCACGGCGAGAAGAAGTGGAAGTGCGACAAGTGCTCCAAGAAGTACGCCGTTCAGTCCGACTGGAAGGCCCATTCCAAGGTCTGCGGCACTCGCGAGTACCGCTGCGACTGCGGCACCCTCTTCTCCCGGTACTTAATCTGGTCGTCGTGGCTCTGCTCTCTCCGATTTGGATCTTAGATATCGTTGTCATCCTTCTTCATGGTGTTTCGTTGTGGTTGGTTAGGAGGGATAGCTTCATCACCCACAGAGCATTCTGCGACGCCCTGGCGGAGGAGAACGGGAAGAAAGGGGGAGCAGCGCCACCGACGAACTCAAGACCCCCATCAGAGGATGATGGAAAGGCAGCTGCAGCTGCAGAAGCAACAGTAGCGGCAGCGGCGGAGGAAGCTCCGGCCGCGGTGGCGGCTCCGTCGTCGCCGCTACAGCAGGCAGCGCCACTGGAGCAGCAAGGTCGGTGGTCCTCCTTTGTGTTCGTATGTAGTTCTTGTACTTCTCGTTTTGGCTTTGCGGAAGAGTACTATTTAATTCGAGGGAATGGGTGGAGGAGAGAAACGAAGGGGTTTTGTCGGATCTGAAGCTTCCGATGCAATAAAATAACGCGCGAAGTTAGCGGGGATTACGACATGGTTTTGTTGGTGTCTTTTGTCGCTTGATGCTCGCCGACAAGCCCTCGTCGCGGATCCAAGTGGAGAAGAGAAAGGTAAGAGTTTATGGTGAGAAGAAGAAGATGACGATGAAAAATGCGGCGACTTTTATAGAGAGGGACGTTTGCTTCCTTCCAAAAGCTCTGTGATTGGAAGCTTTCGATCGTTGCTACTAACTAAAGCAGTTGGATTGAATCGAAAGTCACAAGAAATCTACTCATATCCATGGCATCATTGCTCCTTTTTACACTGCTCTCTTTTCCTTTACATGAAATCTACCTTTTCTTTTTTGGTCTATTGACATGTTTGCAATCCTTTTGCAGAGCTGGAGAATCCAACCGAATTGCTGCAGTACATGCCGCCGCCTCCGGCCTCGATCGCCCACGCCAGCGGCGCCATCACCAGCAGCGGCAGTAGCAGTAGCAGCAGCAACACCAGCCTGTTCGCGAGCCTTTTCGCGTCCAGTGGCACCACCGCCGCAGCTCACAGCACCGCCACCTTGTCGGACCTTATGGGTACGATGAGCCACGTCGACCGGACACTCATGGATCCTCCCTTGCTTTGTCTTGCCACCAATGGAGGGCCAGCATCACTGTTCTCCCCGCAGGCGCAAGCTCATGATCGGCGCCCGTTCGCTCCGCCGCCTCCGTCCCCGCACATGTCTGCGACTGCGCTGCTGCAAAAGGCAGCTCAGATGGGTGCCGCAGCGACCGGCTCATCCTTCCTCAAGGGATTCGGCCTCGATACTCCCACGGGGCAGCAAGAGAGCATCCAGGATAGCAGCCTGCAATGGGGTCGTCGTCATCACCACCACCAGCAACTGGAACCGGAGCCAGCACCGATGCTATCAGCCCAACTCGGACTCGGACTCGCTTGTGAGCCAGACCTGATGATGGGATCCTCGCCATTGTTCGGACCGAAGCCGGCGACGCTGGACTTGCTGGGTTTAGGAGTGGGGCCGCTCGCCGGTTCCACCAATGTTAGAATACCGGCATTGATGACTTCAATAAGCAGCGGAGGTGTCGACATTGGATCAGGAGCGACCACCGGAGGGTGGGAAGGGGCGGAAAGAAAAGCCAAGTAGCCCCGCAGTTCTCCAGCCAATCGACTCTGGCGCGCCGTATTGTTAGTCCGGCAACCTAGTTCTCAGCGGCAGCTCGGAAGGGGAAGGGGAAGGGGTAGAGGATGAGGTGGGGGGGCCTGCATGTACTCCGTTTTGCACTATTACATCTCCATCGGACAGCGTCAGAGCTGTTCTTTCCCCATCTCATCTGCTCATTTTTTCTGTATGTTTGTTCTGCTCTGGTTTTGGTAACGTACAGGAAAAATATAGTACTTGTACATATCGTTTATTTATGGTTCTTGAGACATTGACGTGGGGTTCTTCAGCTTACCCAAAAGACTGGCAAGTGCTGCCATTATCCAACCTGAAATAGAAGCTTGGCGGCTGGGGACGGATGACACCGAACCCGTAAGTGGTGTTGGAGCACTGGGTTGGATGCGTTCGTTCACCACGAAGATAGGTCGAGGGGATTTACAGCAGCTGATTGCCATGGACAAGCAACAAGATGCAGGAAGCACTTCAGTTGTTCACATGGATTTCCTTCCGACTTCCCGTCTTCGCTTTCTCTTTCCACGTTCTGCGGCGGAGGTACATGATTTAGAGGGCTGCCTGTTGTAAGGAAAAAATCAAAGTTACAGCTTTTAGATTAGCGTTTGGTTTTGGTAATTCTGCGTGTTGGAATGCGATCAATTTTGTTTTACTTCGCATTAGATTGACCTCCTTGAAAGAGATTAAAACATCTGAATCGACTTCTATGTCAATTTGGATAATCTAAATCGGATTTGTTTCAGGATGCTTATCGAAAAGTACTTTATCGTTCCAAAAATATCTCGCCACCCAAACCAGGTAGTGCGACATTTGGTGGAAAACACCGTGCCCCAGTGGGTTCCATCGGGGAATCCGTGTATAGTCTTTCGATACCGTTCACGACACAAGATCATCGTGTTTGATGCTTCAAGAATCGTGTACGGATCAAAATCCCCAACCTCGAGAGGGCCACAGCAACCACGATCTTTCATGATTTCTAACATCTTACCGATCTGCGCTGGGCCCATTGGAAATGAAGAGATACGATCCACCGACAAGCAGATCTATGTTCAGTATTAGCACACGAAGTAAACGGAGTCCAACAGAAGAAACTTCGCGTGCTACAAAAACATTACAGAAGACGAAAGAAGAGCATACACGAAGAGAGAGAGAGAGAGAGAGAGAGCTTCTTATTTGCATCAAAGACTAGGAGAAGCTGCAGACACACCACACCCTATACTCTCCATGTATTATTCCACAGTCAACCTGAAGTCCCGCGCCACGTGATTCGACTCTATTGCCTGCTCTCATGCTTATCTTCATCGTTCCCCGTCCACCACAGTGAATTCCTCTCAACTTCTCTCGGGAGCCTCCTCTTGTTCCTCCCGTCTCCTCGCTTCTTCTTCTCTCCTTGTTCCTTCCCCTTCCTCTGTCCTTCTCGCTTCTTCCTCCTCCCCCCCTGCCGCCTCCTCTTGCTCTCTTCTGGTTTCCTCCTCTCTCGCTGCTTCCTCTTCCTCCCTTCTTCTGGCCGCCTCCTCTTGCTCTCTCCTTTCGGCTTCTTCCTCCTCCCTTCTCCTGGCCTCCTCTTCCTCCGGTCTCCTACCTTCCTCCTCTTCCTCCCTTCTCCTCGCTTCCTCTTCCTCCCTCCTACCTTCCTCCTCTTCCTCCCTCCTCCTGGCTTCTTCTGCTTCCCTCCTAGCTTCCTCTTCACCCTCCGTCTTCCTACCTTCCTCTTCCTCCCTCCTCCTGGCTTCTTCTGCTTCCCTCCTAGCTTCCTCTTCCTCCCTCCTTTTGGTTTCCTCTTCCTCCCTTTTCCTCGCTTCCTCTTCACCCTCCCTCTTCCTACCTTCCTCTTCCTCCCTTCTCTTAGCTTCCTCCTCTTCCCTCTTCTTTGCCTCTTCCTCTTCTCTCCTCCTGGCTTCTTCCTCCTCTCTCCTCTTGGCTGCCTCC